CACGTGCACTTTCATACACTCGGCAGCTGCGCTGTTCGTTGCGTCGCACCTGATGTTGTGCAGCTCGAATGTGCGCGCAACGTCCTCGACGGCGCGAGGCTCGTGGTGCTCGCAAACGCGGCAACCCTGGCGCACATACCACATAGCAGATGCTGCGATGATCCGCATCCCTCATACTGTGGGCACCAGGCTGATGAGTCGTCTGATGAGTAATGTCCCGCATCTCCTCCTCATCATCCTTCTCCTCCTGCACCTTCTCCCCCCTCCTCCCCCTCTTCCTTATCCTCCACCTCGTCCTCCTCCCCCTCCTTGTCCCTCTCCTCCTCCTGGACTCCTCATCCTTGTCCTCCTCCTCTTCCTCCATGCTCATCTTCCTCCTTCTCCGCCTTTTTTGGGGTTTGCGTGGTAGCGGAAGCTGGTGCTATATTGCTTGCTAGCTGGCGCTCCCATCTGGTGACCGTCTGGCGTTTCACCGGCAAGTCGAAGAGCTGGGCAAGGGCCCCAGCGCCAACGTGTCCTGTGTTGCGACGAAGCGCCACTTGATATCCACCATAGATCGATAGTTGGTCCGCTTCGCACATGCCTTGCCTCGCCGACTGCAGTTGATCCCTCTGTCCTGTTGCCGCTTGAGTCTCTCAGCCTTGAGAAGTCGTTCTGCTTCCAAGGCTCTACGTTTCCATTCAACTACGCGGCCCCGAAGGCGATATCCATTGTTGCGCTGCTTGGCGCACTTGAGCTGCAATGTTTTGATAGTCTCATGCAGCCGTCGTGCCCCAGCTCGACGCCTAGCAGCCGGGACAATTGCACCAACGGCATCTCCATCTGCAGGAACAATCGGACCACCATCAACGACCGCTGGCGCAACCGCCACGGCCGCCACGGGCACGATCGTGCCAGCTGCCCGCTCTCGAATGGTGCGCGCGAGCTTGCAGTCCAGATCAGCAGCGTACCGTGCAGTGAATGTTAGGCCGAGCTTGCCGCAGACATCGCGGGCACTGCTCAACGACAGAGCTGCGTCGCCACCACGAGCAACGATGTCAACCTCCGCCGATACAGTTCGGGCCAAACCAGCGAGTTCATCACCGTCGCCAGCTGATTGCAGGGCAGCTAGAATGGCATCAACCAGCGCGCGTCTGCTCCGAAAGCGGACGCTGGACCTTCCATCCGCGAGCTCAACGTGAGGGAGGAGAACTCTGGCGAAGTGGGGCCCCAGATCATCCATTGAGCCAAAATGGCTAGGTTACGGAGGTGGCTGGGGCGGGTGGTACCTTCGATTATTCCGCTCGGGGTGCCTTTTGAGCCCTTGGAAGATCTCCTGCTACGCTGGAAGCAATCTCCTGAAAGCCAGGAATTCGGTGGAAAGCAATGTAAGGACCATAGCGAGAGACTAGCAAGTCTGGCATTTCTACTTGTACAAACGCATCATATGCTGATCGGAGGCTTGGTTTCTGGGAGACTCTGTGGGCCAATTCGACACAATCGACAACGTTCAGTTCGGCGGGCCTTAGCTTAAACATGATTGGCCAAATGAGGCCGACGTGCTCGAATCCCCTGTGCCGTGCTATGCTGAAACCACACATTTGCTATAATACCATCATTCAATTTATGTGATCTGTTGCGTTTGCATAGTTTTCACATCTTACGATTTGTTGTTTTGCAAGCTCGGTTTCGATTAGTTTGGCCGTGCGCTGCGCCCAGGGCGCAACACCCCAGAGGGCACTTTACCACCTCCCCACAGCATCATCATCATCAACATCAGCATCATCATCATCATCATCGTCATCGTCATCATCATCAACATCATCATCAGTATCATCATCATCATCATCATCATCATCATCATGAACATCGTCATCATCATCAGCATCATTATTATTATTATGCAGCCATTTTTCAGACAGGTGAGGGCGAACGCCGACTTTGGGGCTCCCAAGTCCCCAACTGAACGTTGTAAAAAGATGGCGACGTGTCATCGTGTGCTTTGATCCTTGGGGTGCCCAGTCTGTGGAGTTCCTCTTGCCATTCTCCCCGCGGCAAGAGTGCATGGCGCTGCTACGCCCACTCTCTGGCGTGCCGCTCGCGGCGCCTGCTGGCACATGGGGTGCCCAAATGCCACGCCAGCTACATCGCGGTAGCCGTTTGTGTGTGTGTGTGTGTGGGTGTGTGTGTGTGTGTGTGGGTGTGTGTGTGTGTGTGTGAGCCTTGGCGCGAGTGGATCCGAGCGTGGGTGATCTGAGTGTAAGCGAGTCGGGGTGCGAGTGGATCTGGGTATGATCGAGCCTGAGTGTGAGTGAGTCTGGATGTAGTCAGTGTGAGTACGAGTGGGGCTGAGTATGAGTGAGCCTGAGTGCGAGTGGGTCTAGGTGTGAATGAGTCCGAGTGTGGGTAAGCCTGAGCTTGCCTGCGCCTCGCCTGATGCATTTGTCAATCTTTTCCGAAAGCAGAGGATGTTGGGCACGCAAACAGGCAAACCGCCTGAGCCGTCCCCACAATCTGGGCGCGAACGGGCCCGTGCGATACGGTGCTGAAGCTAGCGCCTGGCCTGAGACATCCTCACAGCCTGTGTGCGTGGATGATCCAGAGCGCGAGTGAGTCTGAATGAGGAAGTGATGTGACTGTGTCTGCGTGAGGAAGATTGAATCTGAGAAATTGCCCAGTGTGTGTGTGCGCGCGTGTCTGTGGTTGTGTGCGTAGTGAGTCTGAGTGTGTGCGTGTGAGTCTGAGTGCGAGTGAGTGAGTGATGACTGTGAGCGAGTGTTAGATGTGAGCCCGCTCGTCTAGGAGTGAGTCTAATTATGAATGATCTACAAGAGGAACCTGCGTGATGAGTGAGCCTGAGTGTGAGTGTGTCAGAGCATTCGCGATTCTGATCATGAGTGCACCTGAATGAGAAAGTGGCGCGATTGAGTTTGAGTACGAGTGGGTCTGAGTACGAGTGGGTCTGAGTATGGTCGAGTCTGGGTATGAGTGAGGCTGAAGGGGAAGAGGAAAAGGAAGGAGGAGGAAGATAACTAGTCGACGCGGCCATGAGCGCTAGCAAGAACCCAACCTTAGGATATGGCGAAGAAGTGCAATGCGAGGACACTCGCCCGAGTCTACAAGTGAAACACCTTCTTCGCCTCGGTGGGGCATCGTGCGCGGTCGTCTTGTTTTCCCGACGTGCGCCTCCGAAGTTCTGGACCCGTTTCTTGGGGCCGATTTTGAATCCTGGCACGCCGATGGGGCCCGGCCGAAGCCCCAGGAGGCCGAACGCGGCGACTTGCCGTCATGTTTTTCCCAACCCTCTTGCGTTGGGTTCTCGTTTTGGATGGAGGACTGCGGCCGCAACACCTCCTTCCCATCCCCCTTCTTCTTGCCTGTCTGTCTGTCTTCCTGCCTGCCGTCCTGCCTTTATGTCATGCCTTACTTCATGTCTCCCCGGTCGTCGTCCTGCATGACATCGCCACCCCCAGTCGGCTGCGTTCTGCGAGACTGCCGCCACCTTGGAGGGCTGCTGGGGGGTCCAGTGGAGCAGTGGAGCGACGCCCCAGGCACATCGAAGTTAGACATCGCCATCCTATGGCGGCTGCGATCGGGGAAGCGACTGCCACTTTCGAGGGCTGCTGGGGGGTCCAGCGGGGCGACGCCCCACGCAAACCTGCACTGAACCTCGCCATCCCTGGGGGGCCGCGATCTGCGAGACTGCCGACACTTTCGAGGGCCGCTGGGGAACCAGCGGAGCGACGCTTCACGCAGACCCAGATTAAAGCTCGCCATCCCTGGGGAGTTCCGATCTGTGAAGCTGTCGCCACCATCGAAGGCTGTTTGGGAGGCCTAGCGGGCTGACGCCCCACGCAAACCGACGTGAGACCTCGCAGTCCTTTGGGGGGCTTCGGTATGCGAAGCCGTCGCCACTTTCGAAGGCTGCTGGGTGGACCAGCAGGACTGACGCCCCACGCAAACCTACATGAGACCTCGCCGTCGTTGGGGGGCTACGATCCGCGAAACTGTCGCCACCTTAGAGGGCTGCTGGGCGGACCAGCGGAGCGACGCCCCACGCAAACCTGCACTAGACCTCGCCGTTCCTTTGGGGGCTGTGATCTGCGAAACAATCGCCATTTCTCGGAGACTGATGGGGGGTCCACTGCGCGGATTTAGATTCGCCTTGATTCCCTTTCCCGCGGGTCCCGAACACTTGGCGGCGCGCCTGCGGGCGTTTAGCTCCCGCGCCGCATGGCGCAGGAAGGACATGGAGAAGTCTGGTGGGCGAGGTCGGCCTCGCTCGTTCCGTGCACTAGCGGTGGACAGCTGATAGTTGAGGGCGCCAGAGCCGCACGGCGCGGGCCGCGTTATTTGTCCAGCGTGCCACTGGGAAGTTACCGCCACCCTCTTCCTACTTCGATGTCTCCTCTCGTTCGATGTCGTCCTCTTCCTACTTCCTGACCTGCTTCCTGACCTCCTCTCCTCGTCCTCCCCTTTCCTCATCCTGCTTCTTTCGATGCCGTCCTCTTCTTGCTTCGCCACCTCACTGCTGCTGTCGCTTTCGTTTTTCGGCACCTCTTCCGCCTTCCCTCCCCCCCAGTTCCTCTTCGAGCCCAGGGCCTCAGTCCTCGTCCTCCTATTGCCGTCCTGTGAGTCGCACCGCGTGAGCGCTTAGCACAGAGCTTGCGCAACCAATGGCTGATACTGTTCTGTCATTGGCCCAACTGTTCTGGACCAGTTCCTCGTGTCAATTAGTGCCTCTGGGTCGGGCACGTCGCAGGGTAATTTTCACGGCGCGTGGGGGTCTGGGCGGAGGCGGCGGGCCAGCCACGGTGATCCCAGAGACGTACACTTCCTGCTGGCCCGGGTCAGATCCAAACCGGGTCGCTCGAGCCTTGCACGATCCTGCAGGATGCTGCGCGCAGGCCCGGGCCAGTGCACCCCTGGCTCCGCAGGGTCCTGCAAGATCCGGCGCTCTGGCGGACCCCAGCTTGCATCGACGTCCGTCTCGAAGCTCCTGCGGGACGGGTGGGGGCGGCCTCGTGTGCCGGTGCCGCAGCCCCGCTGGGCGGCGTCGAGGCGCCGCCCGTGCGCTGCGGCGACAGGACATCGTCCGCAGGCTGGCTGTGCTGCTGCGCCGCCGCCTGGCGGAGGAGAGGGGGCAGGAGGGAGGGACCAACGCTCGGCTTCGGGGGGTCGTGACGTCCTCGGCGAGCCTACGCCGCGACGGCAGTGCGATGCCATCTGACTGTGAAGGAGCCCGCAGGGCCCTCGAGGGCCGCTGCAGCAAGCTCAGCATGGACGAGCGGCGGCCACTGCGGCACCAGGAGGGGGGAGGGAGGGACGAGGAGGAAGGAGGGAGGGAGGGGCGAGGAGGAAGGAAGGATGGGGAGGAAGGAGGGAGGGACGAGGAGGAAGGAGGGAGGAACGAGGAGGGGAGGAGGGAGGGTCTCACGAGAGCAAAAAGAGCCCCCCCCCCTGGAGCTGGTGGCACGCTGCTCTTGGCACTCTCTGAGGGGGGCGCCCAGAACAGGGTGCCACCAGCTCGGCGGGGGGGGGGGGGGCAGCCCCGCTAGCTGGCTGGTGGTGGTTGTTCTTTCTTCTCTCTGGTGATGGAAGCAACTCCTGGGAAGTTTAGGTTAAAACGGATGAAGCGGGATTGCTCAGATCAGGCCGGCTTTGGACCACAGATATACCAGCGCCGATGATGAATCAAACCTCCGGGTAAACGAATCCTGAGGAGAAGGAGACAGCAGGCGCCTCCTCCTCCTCCTCCTCCTCCTCCTCCTCCTCCCCTCTTCTAGTCCACTCTTGTTTCTTGTTCCTTTTAATTCCCATCGCATCATTTGGACAACTCGACGGGCAACGCACTCTGGAACATCCCTCGGTGGCATGCCAGAGCACCAGCATATACAGGCATTTAGAGGAAACGAGCACAACCCGCATGCTGGAAATCCGCCGACCCTGTAGGCGTGTGCGAGGGGCTTGGCTGTTCGAGTCGTCGTCTCCGTCGGTCGTCGCCTCCGTCGTCCCCTTTCCCTGCAGCTTCCTTCTCAAGCTCGTGAGCGATAGCAAAATCTAGCAATGTCGTAATCGAGTCGAAGGGAAGCCCCTTCCCTTTGATCCCTTCCCCAGGGGGAGGGGGGGGTCCCGAGGGGGGGGGGTGGGAGGGGGGGGTCCCCGGGGGGGGGGGGGGGTCCCGGGGGGGGTGGGGGGGGGGTCCCCGGGACGAGGGGGTGATGGGGGGGGGGGGGGGGGGGGGGGGCAGATTCGTTTTTCCTCGGGCGGCCTAGAAACATCGAAAACACTCCAAATGAGGTCCGAATGCCCAAGATGGCCCCCGAGACGGCCCAAGAGGGCCCCGAGTCGCCCAAAGATCGGCCGAAAACGCCCAAGATAGCCCCAAGACCGTCCAAGAAGCCTCCAAGACGTCCCAGGCCCCCTCCAAGAGACCCCCAGGAAGCCCCAAGAGGCCCCCACGAGGCTTCCAAGCGGCCCCTAAGAGCTTCCCAAGAGGCCCACAAACTACCCCCAAGAGGCCCCAAAGAGCGCTCGTCGTCGTCGTCGTCGTCGTCGCCATTCAGGGTCGGCGGCACCGGCCGTAAGGCCTTCGCAATAACAATCCTGATCCTGATCCCTTCTCATTGGTACCTGCGTGTCTCATAATCAGACGTGTCGGGCGGGGTGCGGCTTGCCTTAGACCTCCTCGCCGTTTACGATCTTGGAGCTTGGAACTTTTCCACCACTCACACGGATTGGGAACGTCACCGAGGACAACCCTTTGGAGCCACCACGGCCCCCCAAATAGCCGCCGAATTCCGAAGGAGTTGCGCGACAATTTTTTCTTGTTTGAAAGCATGCAGTGCTGGGCGCGTAGGCCAGCCTGTAATGCCCCCTGACGAGCATCCATGTTGAACCAAACATTACCGCGGCCGTCGCCATCATCACCGCAAAAACCACAAGATAACAAACGTTACAATCATCGTCGGGCTGAGGTCAGGTCAGTCTGCGTCGCCGCACATCGACTCTTTACCGAAGCTGAGCGCCGCGAGCTCCCAGCAGCATTCGTCGACAGCTGTCAAAAGCAAAACCGCCGAAATGGTCCTTGAAAGGGCCGCCAGGAGGGCCGCCGAAAGGGCCGCCGAAATCGTCGCCGAAATCGCCGCCGAAATTGCCGCCGAAATTGCCGCCGAAATCGCCGCCGACATTGCCGCCGAAATTGCCGCCGAACTTGCCGCCGAACTTGCCGCCGAAATTGCCGCCGAAATTGCCGCCGAAATAATTGCGAACTCCACCAAAATAGCCGCCGGAATTCAGCCGCCGAAATCACCGCCGAAATTCAGCCGCCGAAATTTTCATTGCCCCGTCGCAAGCGAAATCGCTGTTCCAGTAAGCGCGATGACGCCGCAGACACAGGCATAGAGTCACAGCCAAGGTCAAAGTCGGTCTTTTCTCGGCGGAACCATCTGGAATTTCGGCGGCAATTTCGGCGGCAATTTCGGCGGCAATTTCGGCGGCGATTTCGGCGGCAATTTCGGCGGCAATTTCGGCGGCAATTCTGGCGGCCCTTCCGACGGCTCTTTCGGCGGCTCCTTCGGCGGCAATCTCGGCGGCCCTTTCGACGGCTCTTTCGGCGACCATTTCGGCGACGTTGCTTTTGTCAACTGTCGACAATGGCTGCCGGAAGCTCGCGGCACTCGGCGACCCCGGCGGGCCCTGAGAGGGCCCTCGAAAGGCCTCGCCAGAAAGCGCCTGCGAAGTAGCTCAAGCCATGCGTGATTTGCACGCGATAGCATGCGCAACGTGCAATGTGAATGCCTCGCATTATACGTCAGCACGCTCTAAGGTGCGTCTGGGAACCACCGCGCGGCAGGGCGCGCCTGCACACTGAAACTCTAAGAAAAACCTCAATTTCGTCTGGAATGGATTTCGGCGCGCGCCCCTTTTCGTCTCCAAAGAAAGAGCCACTATGAGGAACGGCCCGCTTTCAAAACAGAGCTCTCGCCGTGGCGCCACGCACGCTCGCTCAACCCACTTCCAACAGCTACGCAAACTTAGGGCGAGTCGTTTTCAAAGTAGGGCTCTCGCCTTAGCACCACGCCCGCTCGTCAAACATTCCGTCCACTGCACGGATGAGAACTCCTCTGCGTTGACTCCCTCGCACATGAGGCTGAGGCAACAGTGACCCGGATGGAAGGAAGCTCGTTTTGGACATGGGGCTCTAGCTTACGACGCCCCTGTCACGCATGACCGTCTGCTAAGCACGTTGCAACACATGCACGGTGGCTCCATTTCGAAGTGGGGCTGCCGCAGAAGTTCCTGGAATGCATGGCCCCGCCTTGGAATTGCGGACCCATGGGACGCCCGTCTTTCGAGGAGCCCGCTTCGCGCGGTGGAGAAGAATGCTTGCACATACGTAGCATAATGTTTCATGGAGGAAGAGGGCTCGTGAGGAGAGAATCCAATCGCAGCGTTGGTGCATCGGCGATGCGGCGATGCGGCGCGATCCTCCGACGCCATCTTTTGTGGCCCAGTTGGGAGGTATGGGATCTTGTTACTCGCTGCTTGAGAGCGTCGTGGGCCAGCCTCCCGACGCCAGCGCCAAGTTCTGCCAGACCGAAAGAGGATAGAGCATCCACAAGCAAGCCCAGACAAAAGAGCTCAGACATCACTTGGGAGGCCCGGCCGATTTGTTCGAGACATGGACCCCCAGACCTCCCGACTACTTCCTTGCGGCACCTTCTTCGTCCCCAGAGCTCCGATGTCTTTTTTTAACCATGAGCGGTCCCAAGAAGTTCCCGACTCTTCCACCCCGGGCCAACCTTTCATCCCGAATCGTTACATTACAGTCCTGATGCCCAAGCCCCCCGAACCGAGAAGTGAGAAACACCTCCGCCTAGATTCTTCCATCATGAAGAGGTCTGACTCCCGAGTCGTCGTTTGATAGACCTGGATCCGTCTTCAATCGTCCCGGAGCTCGACGACGGACCCTGGAGGCCGAAATCGAGGAACACCCATCGGTTGACACAAGTCAGACCGAGAGATCCGGGCTCCCCCCCCTGTTTCAGCCCCGAGACCCGCCGTTGCACTACCAGAGGCACAGCCTCGCGACTCACGACCGGACCCCCAGATCCGACCTCGAGCCGGGTCGATCCGTAATGGCCCCTGGGTCCTAGACCGGGGGACAGTAAACCCGGAGACAAAACATGCGCCCTCCTCCTCCTCCTCCTTCCTCCTCCTCCTATTCCTCGTCCTCGTCCTCGTCCTCGTCCTCGTCCTCCTCCTCCTCCTCCTCCTCCTCCCCCCCAGCCTTCCGTTGAGCAACAGCAGTGGTTAGACTACAGACTCCGCGTTTCAAAGCTTGTGTTCGCTGTCTCTGCTACGCTTCTGCCGCTCTGGCCAAAGTAAGATCTATCCGAAACAGCGCTTGAGAAGAGCTCGTCTGAGGCAACATCTCCGGGCGTGGGTCACGTTTGGAGTTGGGTGGGATAGTTCTGGCAATGCGAAAGATGCTTTCGAGGATCCAGAACGGCCGCGCAGCCTGAGCCTGGCAAATTTCACGGCGGTCCAGGCATAGGCATCCGCGGAGTGGACGCTCCCCAATTGAAAGAATTGGGCCACCACATGCTTCTATTGGACGGCAGCGACGATCAATTTTTATACATTTGCACGCGTTGCAAATTTTCCACCGCTGGAGGTCAAGTGGGACAAGGCGGGCTCTACACATGGAAATGTGTGCTGGCTGGCAAGCATCCGAGGAGAGAAGGGGTCACTCTAGTTGGGCCATGGGTCCATGATTACTCCCAATAATTTCCGATGTGTTGTGTCTGGGGCCGTATCGTCCAGCCTGCTGACTGCTCCCTCTGGCAGCGCAGGCTTCGTGCCTTGCTTGTGGCGAGGGGGGTGGGGGCACGATGCAGGCTCGGCCTCTGGTGAGCGTTTTGTTGGCTTCTGGTGAGCGTTTTTTTTTATTCGGCGTTTCGACATTTGCAGTTGGCTTCTGGTGAGCGTTTTTTTTGACTCGGCGTTTCGACATTGGGCGGAAAGGGGGGGAGGGGGGGGGGTCTGGCTCCGGACCTCTGCTTAATTCGACTGTTTGCAACCGTGCGTTCTATGGGGGAGCGGGGGAGACCCCACCTGCTCGAAATAGGCGCCAAAAAGCAGCCAAGATCTACTCCAGGGGGGTGGCGGGAAGGGGGGGGCGGGAAGGGGTGGTTTTGGGGCCCGCGCCGATCCAGAAAACACTGAATAAAAAAAACGATCACCTAGCGGTATGTTGTTTGTGCGTGCTCCCAACCCCCCTCTCCTGGCACTCCGGGGTGGCGCACGTGGAGGAGGGCAGAACAAGCCTCGAGCGCCACCCCAGGTTGAGTGCTAGGAGTCGGGCGGGGCTCCACCTGGATGGCGTAGGCTGCAGTGTCTCGGACCTCGCGCGCCCCCAGAGTGTTTCTTTGGCCAGTGTCTACGTATTTTTGGAGCTGGTCTTTCACTGGGGAGGAGGCGTCGATCTCCCTGGTGTACGTGTTTGCAGGCGCGTTGATGTTAATCCTCCTCCTCCTCCTCCTTCTCCTCCTCCTCCTCCTCCTTCTCCTCCTCCTCCTCGTGATTTAACAGCGCTCCTGGCGTCCAGAAGCGTGCGCGACGGAAGCTGTTTGGATGCTGTCGGCTTCTGTGAGAGGGCCCTCAATTGCCATCTCTCGGACGCCCATTCCCTGTGCATGCTTCGGCTTCGCGCGCAAATGTTTCGCAAGATGATCCAGGATGCTCCTCGATGGTCCTCGCCGAAGACAGATGCACACGTCCGAGCGATGCCAAGCTCAGAGGGGCACCTCTGGGGAGGGGAGGCAGGCCTCGTCCGCCGCACCCGCGGCCTCGTCCCGCCGCGGCGCGGCCTCGCTCGCCAAGCGGCCCTTGCCCGCGCGCTGCGGCGCCGGGGCCTCGGCCGCCAGAGGGCTCTGAGGATGCGCCGCCTCGTGTAGGGAGGGGGGAAGAGGAAGAGGACCAGAGAAAACCCAAGAGTCATACATGAAATTGCAACAACCCCTCGCTCCAAGCCCTCGCTTCGTAGGCCCCTACAAAGGCTCACTCTCACTGACGGAAGCGCCACGCTGGAAAACCTGAACTGTGCCAGAGCACCATTCCTGGGACTCCAACGCCGCGAATCACCGTCAACTTTTGCGAATCCAGAATCGCGCCAGACAGCCATTCCAGGGACTTTACACCACGAGTCGCCGCAACAGATGTGTCTCGACGACCCTGAATCTACCAGAACCCCGTTCCTGGGACTTCCACACAACGAATCAACATAACTGTTGCGCCCTGACAAGCCGACATCGTGCCAAAAAACACTTCGGGAATGTTAAACATGAGAACTGCTGTAACCTCTTAAAACGAATGCGCGCGGCGCTAAAGCGAGAGCCACATTGTGAATCTGAACCGCCTTCCATCCTTGAAGTTCTTGCGTTGTTTGAAACAAGAAAAAGGATGTGCGCGGCGCTAAAGCGGGATCCGTGGAGCCCTAGCAATGTTTATAAGCGGATGCGCGCGGCACTAAGGCGATAGCGACATTTCGAAAACGGCCCGCCCTCCATTCGTGAAACTCTTGCGCTTGTTTAGCACGGACGTGCGCGGCGCAGAAGCGAGAACCACATTTTGAAGACCACTTCTTCTCACCCCGTGCAACCCTTGCATTTCTTGAACGGACGGGCGCTGCGCTAAGGCGAGAAACACGTTTTGAAAACGACCCGCCCTTCATCCGTGAAACTTTGGCCAACTGTATATGTGCTCAGAGCTGGTGAAGGCAGGGGGAGAAGCAGAAAGAACAGGAGGAGCAGAAGGAGGAGGTGGCGGGTAGGTACACCCCTATCCTCCTCCTCCTCCTCGTCCTCCTCCTCCTCCTCCTCCTCTCCCCTCCTCTCCTCCTCCCTCTTGCTCCTGCTCATCCTCCTCCTCCTCCTCCTATTCCTCGTCCTCCTCCTCCTCCTCCTCCCTCCCTCCCACCTCATTCCTCCCTCCCCCCTCCTCCCTCCACCTTCTCCTCCTCCTCCTCCTCCTTCTCCTCCTCCTCCTCGTGATTTAACAGCGCTCCTGGCGTCCAGAAGCGTGCGCGACGGAAGCTGTTTGGATGCTGTCGGCTTCTGTGAGAGGGCCCTCAATTGCCATCTCTCGGACGCCCATTCCCTGTGCATGCTTCGGCTTCGCGCGCAAATGTTTCGCAAGATGATCCAGGATGCTCCTCGATGGTCCTCGCCGAAGACAGATGCACACGTCCGAGCGATGCCAAGCTCAGAGGGGCACCTCTGGGGAGGGGAGGCAAGCCTCGTCCGCCGCACCCGCGGCCTCGTCCCGCCGCGGCGCGGCCTCGCTCGCCAAGCGGCCCTTGCCCTCGCGCTGCGGCGCCGGGGCCTCGGCCGCCAGAGGGCTCTGAGGATGCGCCGCCTCGTGTAGGGAGGGGGGAAGAGGAAGAGGACCAGAGTAAACCCGAGAGTCATACATGAAATTGCAACAACCCCTCGCTCCAAGCCCTCGCTTCGTAGGCCCCTACAAAGGCTCACTCTCACTGACGGAAGCGCCACGCTGGAAAACCTGAACTGTGCCAGAGCACCATTCCTGGGACTCCAACGCCGCGAATCACCGTCAACTTTTGCGTCTTGACAATCCAGAACCGCGCCAGACAGCCATTCCAGGGACTTTACACCACGAGTCGCCGCAACAGATGTGTCTCGACGACCCTGAATCTACCAGAACCCCGTTCCTGGGACTTCCACACAACGAATCAACATAACTGTTGCGCCCTGACAAGCCGACATCGTGCCAAAAAACCACTTCGGGAATGTTAAACATGAGAACTGCTGTAACCTCTTAAAACGAATGCGCGCGGCGCTAAAGCGAGAGCCACATTGTGAATCTGAACCGCCTTCCATCCTTGAAGTTCTTGCGTTGTTTGAAACAAGAAAAAGGATGTGCGCGGCGCTAAAGCGGGATCCGTGAAGCCCTAGCAATGTTTATAAGCGGATGCGCGCGGCACTAAGGCGATAGCGACATTTCGAAAACGGCCCGCCCTCCATTCGTGAAACTCTTGCGCTTGTTTAGCACGGACGTGCGCGGCGCAGAAGCGAGAACCACATTTTGAAGACCACTTCTTCTCACCCCGTGCAACCCTTGCATTTCTTGAACGGACGGGCGCTGCGCTAAGGCGATAAACACGTTTTGAAAACGACCCGCCCTTCATCCGTGAAACTTTGGCCAACTGTATATGTGCTCAGAGCTGGTGAAGGCAGGGGGAGAAGCAGAAAGAACAGGAGGAGCAGAAGGAGGAGGTGGCGGGTAGGTACACCCCTATCCTCCTCCTCCTCCTCCTCCTCCTCCTCCTCCTCCTCTTGCTCCTGCTCATCCTCCTCCCTCCTCCTCCTATTCCTCGTCTCCTCCTCCTCCTCTCCTCCTCCTCCTCCTCCTCCTCCTCCTCCTCCTCCCTCCTCCACCTCATTCCTCCCTCCCCCCTCCTCCCTCCACCTCCTCCTCCTCCTCCTCCTCCTCCTCCTCCTCCTCTTCCTCCTCTTCCTCATCCTCCTCCTCCTTCTCTGTCCGCCTCGTCCTCGTCCTCCACTTCCTCCCCTGCGATCCTGATTCCTGATTTGCATCTATATATAGATATAAAATAAAAACCAATACGTGTACATGCATGTCTGTCTGTATGTATGTATGTACGTCTGCATGTAAGAGTGTCTGTTTGTCTGCGTCTGTCTGTCCGTCTGTGTGTCTGTCTGTGTGTCTGCCTGTCTGTATGTTTGTATGTATGTTTGTATGTACGCATGTATGTATGTATGTATGTAGGAAGGAGGACATGCATCCATCCAGGCATACATGTCGATTTGCATGTGTAAGCGTATATGTACATGTATGTCTGATTGTATGTATATACGGATGTATGAAATCATATATATATATGTGTGTATGCATGCATGCGTGGCTGTCTGTATGCAGTTATGTATACATACATTCGTGTACATATATGTATGCATGTACGTATGTATGCGTGTATGTATGGATGTATGTATGTATGTGTAAACATATGCACATGTACATGTATGAATGCATGCATGCGTCCATCAGTGCCTGAATGTATGGAATATATATATATATGTGCACATGGATGCATGGTGATGCTTGTGTGTATGTATGCGTGTACGTATGTTTGTATGTGTGCATATATGGCGTTACGTCTGTATGTTTGTATGTCTGTAGGTGTGTATGTCTGTCTGTCTGCATGTATGTGCATGCATGCATGCATGTGTGTAGTATGTATATATGCATGTATGATTGACCGTATTCATGTGCATGTGTTTCGGTGTATGCACGTATGTATGTATGCATGTCCGTGTGAATGTACCTATGTGTGTCAGCATGCGTGTATGTATGTATGTCTGCATGCTTGTATGTGTGTAGGTATGTAGGCATGGGCATGCATGTATGTATGCGTGTGTATGTCTGCATGTATGTATGGATGTAAGTGCTTACGCATGCATGTATGATGATATGCATGTTTTTGTGTGTGCCAGTATTTATGTGTGTATGTGTGCATGCGTGTACTTATGTATGTACGTATGTATGTATGTGTGTAACTGCGCATGCATGCATGTATGCATGCATGTATGTCTGTATTTGTGTTTACGGCCAGCGATGACCACCGTCCACTTGCAAAGCTGATATGGCCACCGTGCTGTGGGGGTATCCCTTTTGGCCTAGTCAGCCAAATCTATAAATCACACACAACGGTGGTAATGCCTTTGACGAATCGTTGGCGAATAATCCGTTGACCCGGGCGACACCGCCCCACACGTGGCGGCAGTGCTCTAGAGTGGCTGGCCAGGTTAAGGATGACGGGGAGGGAAGGAGGAGAAAAGACAGCGGGGAGAAGACGCAAAGCTCCAGTGCTGAAAGGCTCTGCTGGCGACAACAGGGGCTGACAAATCCTGCCCCCCCGTGATCAAAATGCAACTGCCCGGACAAGCGTGCGAAATGGGAATGCCGCCACATTCTTGCGCACCGACTCCAACAAGCGGGGAAGAGGAGGAGGAGGAGGAGGAAGAGAAAGAGGAGCGGGGGTGGGGAGAAACGGAAGCGAAGCTCGCACGAGCCCAGTCAATGCGCCGAACTAAACAGTGCAGCCGGCGTATGTGTGTATGTATGTATGTATGTATGTATGTATGTATGTATGTATGTATGTATGTATGTATGTACGTATGTATGTATGTATGTATGTATGTATGTATGTATGTATGTATGTATGTATGTGTGTATGTATGTATGTATGCATGCACGTATGTATGTATGTATGTATCAATGTATGCATGTATGTGTATTGATGTATGTATGCGCGTATGTGTGTATGCATGTATGGGTGTATGTATGCATACTTGCATGCATGCATTTGCGCAGGCATGTATGTATGATTGTATGTGTGTATGTATGTGTATGTGTATGTGCCTGTCTGTGTGTCGGTATGTCTGTCTGTATGTATGCATGCATGCATGTATGCATGTATGTGTGTATGTACTTATCTATGTACGTGTGTATGTGTGTACGTGTGTATGCATGTGTGCAGGTATGTGTGCATGTATGTATGCGTGTACAAATATATAGGTGTATGTATGTATGTACGTGTGCATGTATGTATGTATGTGTGTGTATGTATGTATGTATGTATGTATGTATGTATGTATGTATGGATGTATGTATGTATGTAGGTAAGTAGGTATGTAGGTATGTAGGTATGTAGGTATGTAGGTATGTAGGCATGTAGGTATGTAGATGTGTAAGCATGCACGTATACAAGTATGCATGCATGTATGCAGATATGTATGTGTATGTGGGAATGTATGTAGGTGCCCCTGTATGTATGTGTGTAGGTAGGTGTGTCGATCTCTATACCTTTATACAATGGTATAACTACGTGCGTACACAATCTTGCTATGCCACATAGCTGGCCGATAATGACCCAATCTTGGGGTTCCACTGGTCCTCGTAAACAACAATGTCACGTTGACGTTTTTTGCTCTCGGCATGGACGTTCTGTCGTCCACGGTGCAAGACGCGTCGCAAGAATGGGACGGGACAAACCCCACTCGAAAGAGCGCAATGTCGCTCTCGCAGCGCCGCGATCGCTTTGCCAGGAAATTGAGCTCCCGCGGGGGCGCGTCGCACAGTTGTGGCAGCCAATTTGTCGTCGCGCGAGCGGGCGGAAACGCCGCTCTCGCAGCAACGCCACGGGGATTCCGCCTGAAGGTGGCGGACCCGCCTCGGCGCGACGGATGCACTCCACTCGCCGATTTGGGGTGCCCCGCGCGAGAGAGCGACTTATCGCCCTCGCCCAAACTCCGTGCGCATTTCTCTCGGAAGTGGCGTTCCCGCGCGGGCGCAGCGCATGGTTCGATCGTCGAATCGCATGAAGGCGGGAGCGGCAGCGGAGCAGCGCGAGAGCGGGCGAAGCACCAACCTCGCCCAATCGCCGCGCAGCTTTTGAGTGACACTGGCAGTGCTGTGTCGGCGCGGCGCATGCTTCGTCTTCGCCGCGCTCATCAAAATGGCCTGCCGCTCCCACCCCTGCGCGGCATGCGTAGTTTTCCCTTCGCCAAGTCGTCGGAAGCGGGGCTGCGCGCGAGCGCCTTCCGTTCGCCAGGGTGCCAGCAGGAGCTCGTTCCAGCCCCTGTTCCAGACTGCACCACGCTTCGTTCAATTCTTATGCCCTGGGGGGGAAAGTGGGAACCGGCGGGGCCGATGACTCGCTCGCTCTGGCTAGCTTGACTCCCACTCGCGCTTCGCCTCCTCCTCCTCCTCCTACTCCTCCTCCTCTTGTGCCTCCTCCCTCCTCCTCCCTCCTCCACGTCTTCTACCTCCTCCCACCTGCTCTCTCATCCCTCCTCCCTCTTCTTTCCCCGATCCTCCCTTCTCATCCTCCTGCTCCTCCCTCCTCTCCCACTCTTCCTCACCCCCTCCTTCTCCTTTCTCCTTCCTTCCCTGCTCCTCCACTCCTTCTCCCTGTCGCACAACCAGTCGGGTTCTTGGGGTTGGCCGGGTGTTTCGCCTTCGATTTCTCTTTCTGCCTCCCTCGCCTCGGCATTCCCCCCTCCTTCTCGTGCTCCCTCCCCCTTCATCCGTCTTTCTCCTCCTCCTCCTGCTCTTCCTCCATCCCCCTCCAGTATCCAATCCTCCGAAGGGTTGATTCTGTCAATCCAACTGCTTCTTCTTCAATTTCCGCCTCAGGGGGTTGTTTTCGGACCCTGGGGCCATCAAAACTGGATGCAGGACGGAACGAGTAAGAAAGGAGCCCTTGCTTCAGTGGGCGGACTGGCCCAGAGCAA